TTACCCAATACCCCTGATAACCCTGCCTATGATCCTGAAGATGAAGACATATTTCCTATTCTGGGCATACAGGCATAAACATAACAAGACAGGTAACAGGAACAGGAACGGTTACTGGGGACAGGAACAGGAACTGGGGAACTGGGACAGGTACGGGGAACAGGGACAGGTACTGGAACTGGGGAAAAGGAACCAGGAACATTTGACTGGAAAATAGAGTAGAGGTGGTGTGTGATGAGGGTGAGGAGGAGGGTAAGAGAGAGTGGGGATTCAGTGCTGGGAGATCACTCAGATCATAATTCTGAAAGTCCATAATGTGGCCATATTAAGGATGTCATAATGTGGCCATATTAAGGATGGAATCCATAATGTGGCCATATTGAGGATATAATCCATAATGTGGCCATATTAAGGATGGAATCCTTGATGTGGCCATATTAAGGATCAAATCCTTAATTTTTCCATATTAAGGACGGTGACCTTAATCTTGCGGTGTGGCCAAATTAAGGACACCGTCTTTAATATGGCCATGACATGAAGGACAACGTCCTTAATATGGCCACATAAGGGACACATTCCGGCCACATTGAGGAAACCTTCCTTAATATGGCCACATTATGGATGCTGTCCTTAATATAGCCATATTGGGGATGCCATCCTTAATATAGCTACATTATGGATTACGTCCTTACTATGGCCATATTGAGGATGCCATCCTTAATATGGCTGCATTATGGACACCATCCTTAATATGGCCATATTGAGGAGGCCATCCTTAATATTTCCATAGTAAGGACAGTGTCCATAATGTAGCCATATTGAGGATGACATCTGTAATATGGCCACATTATGGACACCGTCTTTAATATGACCAAATTAAATGAATTTTATTCGATATTCAAAGTGTGGAACATAGGGAGGAGAGATAGGATGAATCCTCTGGAAGGCAGGGACAGGTAGCTATTGAATAATAATAAAATATTGCATGAATATATTAAGGACAGTTAAATTAATGTGGCCATATTAAAGGGCCTGAAAGTTTTTTAAAATTGATTATGAAACATTAATTTTCATATCTACTTTCATCAAATACATTTCATTTTTATGTGAAGTTATCTATGCAGGATGATTTTCAGATACTGAAGAAATACATGATTTATGATAATTGGGTATCTTTATGGTTCCATAATCATTTTTCTTGATTGAATTTTTATGCTTTGCTGAAATGTATCTGCCATTTTAAAATCTGACAGAACTTGAAATGATACTGTTTAAGGAGGGATCACCTTGAATTCAACATAAGTTTTAAACATATGTCATTACTTCCAGAACACTTCCATCCTCTTCAATTCATACATACAGGCTTGATAAAACCAACATTCAATACACTGACAACCTAACCTTTGGGAATACCTCTGAAATGGCAATCTCCATGCATGTGCCAAAAATGGTCCCCTGATGGCAGTGCGCAATGTTCAGTATGCTGATGAAGAAACTCTTGAAGCCCCAAGCCCTCCCCATGATTAATAAAACAATGATGACACAGAAGAAAGCTGCACAGCTCCCAGTGCCCAAAGCTGCATACCTGAAGGACCTTACCCACTTGTAAGCTACCTTGATGTCAGGAATGATATTCCTCTAGCTACAAGGGCTAAAAAATACAAAAATAAAGAAAATAATAATTGTTTTGGGTTTTTGGGAGGTTTTGATATTTTTTAAAGCTTTGGGGATTTTTGGAGGAATAAGAAATAGCTGAAAATGGGCAAAAAATAGGAAAACACAGACGGGCCTGCAAGCAGGGGTGTTTAAGGTGTCTGGAGCCAAGACCAGGGGTTGTTCTTGGAAAACTGGGGCCTGAAGAACAGGTTTTTCAATTTCCCCGGAACTTAGGAAAGCAAATGGCAGCAATTATGATATATAATAATTCCTGCAAGAGGTATCCTTGCAAAAAAGGACCAGGAAGATGAAATGGAGTGTTGGAAGGGCTTTTGTGACAGAAAGAGGAAGGGATAAATAATCTAAGTCTGGACACTGGTTGGAGTAACTGGTGGCCAGTCCTGAATAATCTTGAAGCTGGAATGAGCTGGGCAAAAAGGCTAACAAGGGGGAGGAAATAGGTGCCTTTTAAGTCTTTCTGGAGCCTTTGGGAAGATCTTATGAGTATTTCTAAGTTTCTGGGACTCCCTTGTTACTCAGTTGTATACTTTTAGTCTGTATTTTGACTCAATAGTGGCTTTATTGTGCCATATGGTGCACCACATGCTGTGGCTTCTCACACCATGTGAATATTTGAATTGTGTGGCTTTTTAATAGATTTTTTCAGTATTATTTTAATTTTGGGGAGCTTCCATTTTCCTTTATCAATTACTGAACTGATTTAGTATTTTTTTTTATATTATTTGTGGCACATTTTGATATTTATAGAAACATGTGTGAATTTTTTCAAATTTACTACAAGTTTCTAGGACTATTAAAGAAGTTTCTATTTTTTTCAAATTCAGTTTTTAGATGTCTTCCACATTCCTGTGTAATCTTATGACTTTTTTGTGAAATTTCTATATGTTTATTATTTTGTTTAAGTATTGTTATGATAAACATTATGAAGGGTTACTCCTATGACCATGTTTTTGGGGAGTGACCCTAGGTTTTTTTAGACGTAGAATTCATTGGTGTAATAAAATTTGATGATTTATTGAACCAAACACATTTCTTTGTTAAATATTGTTATTTTTATTCTAGAAATCATTATTAATTATTTATGTTTATGTACTTTCACTACTATGTCTGCTTGTCTCTGAATAATAGCAAACTGAAAACTGTGTACTTTGGTGATTGGATTTTGATGAAATCTATTTCCAATTACCATAAACTTGTTTGAAAGCATCGGAAGGCTAATTTTTTCAAGAATAATTGCGAAAATTTGATACCAAGGCCCCATGTTTCTTGGTTAAAGTTTCAGACTGAAAATTATAAATAAATAAATAAAAATCTGCAGAACTACAAAGCGTTTTTCAAATTCTCTTCTCACTAATTGCAAAATGTTGACCTGAAAGACAGCATTTGTAAGATATTTGCTTTCCCACTATCATTCCCCCCCAACCCACCCCATTTCATCCCAAACATGTCCAGAAGTCAATTATTGTGAGTTCACACCGGTTGCGGGGCAACTCTATTTGATGGGATACCTTTTTTCAGCCCTAGAGATACTCCATAGTATCCAAAAGACTGTTAAATAGCTTATATCTTCTTTATCATTGGGAAATCATATAATATGACTTCAGAAATGGATTTTTCATGTAGTTTTACCTAGGGTCACTCACTGGGCCTAACTCTAAATTACCACTCCTTCTGGTACTTTGGCAATTCCTCAAAATAACACAACAAAATAATATATTCATTTGGTGCTGTGGACTGTGTACCATACTATAAAGTATGTTGTACCTAGAAGATCTCAGACAGGTGCATGCAAGGTTTTTACATAGTTCAAAACTTATGAGAAAAGAATCTGAGAAGTATTCTTTAAAGTCATAATTAGATTCAATAGTCCTGTAACTTTTAGAATAAGGGATTCCCACAATTTGACAATTGAATGGCAATTCATCCCAATATATTCTATTCAAGAAAGAAGACTCATTTTGTAGTTGACTATGAAAATTCAGCATGATGTCATGGGGACATAGAATGAATTGAATTAAATCAAAATGAACTATGACACCATTATGATGCAAGATGGCACCATTATGGAATCATTTGATGTAAGAATGGTGAAATAAAATAGAACCCTCTAGTAGCTACTTGAGGGGACCAGAATATGAAATGAGGCCTTCTATGGCCCTGAGATACTCAGCATACTCAACCCCCAGCATACATTAAGTATCCAAGTAAATATTCTCCTCCTAATTTAAGAGTAGTGTTACACAAACCACAATTTTCTTATTTCCCCCTGGAATGATCCTTTTTCTCAATAGCACCTAAAAAACAAACCAGTACAAGATGCCTCTCCTCCACATTGATTTTTTAAGTGGTAACAATCATTCTTTTAGTGTGGCTTTCTGTTTTCTGGCAGAAGAAAATTTTGAATTCTGCACTAGGGCTCTTGAATGTTTTCAGTTGGTTATATAAGTTCACAACATCACCCCTCTGGAAGTCTTGATCATAGACTGTGAACTAGCTTTTATGAATGAAATTGACTGATTCTTTCCAAATGCAACTCACATGATTTGCAACTGGCACATTGAAAAGAAAATTCTGAAAAATTCGACTCAATTAATCAAGGATCAAGATCCAGTTCAGAATATTCTCCACTAACTTTTTTAAGATTTTCAGCAGTTAATTGTAGAGACTTGATTGCTTATATGGAGAAGACCTGGATTCCCCCCTGCGCCTTGGTTTGTAAATGCTTGGACAAAGAAAATCACCCATTTTGACCATAGAACAACCTCCAAAATTGTATCATCCTACTCTTACATCAAGACTTGCCTCCTCACTTTTCACTCCTCTCTTGCCACTTTTGTCAAAATGATCACCCTTGCTCTTCAAAGACAGCATCAACAGATCAAATCTGAATTCCATCAGCAAAAGATTACTGCTCTGCAAAAAATTCACTCAATTTTCTCATGATCACCAGACCAAACATGAAGGGAATGTGCACACATTGCCTTACTAGGTACAAAGTGTCCCCTTTTTACCTAGTGAGGAACTGTGTAAATTTTGTCTTTTTTTTTGGCCTGGTGGATGTCATGGGAAGATCTCCAACTTTGCTCTCCAAAAAGCCCAGTATCAATATAGAACTCTGGACTATGATAATCCTGCAAGATGCCATCAAACTCAGCAGAGAAGAATGGGAATCCCAAGAAAAAATTGAATTGTCCAGTTGTGGGATTCCAGTAAGTGTGTGGAACCAGAGGAATTTCACCCCCAGTGGCACTTGAAAGTATTTCTTTTCATTTTTTGTATTCATCTGTCTAATCTCCACTGGGTTTCTGACTGTTATTTGTGGTATTTATTTTCATTTAGGATCTGAAGCCTCTGAATTACTCTCAGGAAGATGAATCACAGGAGAAAATCAACA